CAGACGTAAATTCCGGAATCTGAGCTTCTCGCTTCAATTACATTAAGCACCTAGATAGGAGTTACTATAGCAGCTAACAAAGAAATTTAGTAATTCATCTTGTCTCACCTTTCCATCAGCAATATACCGCACTCCTTGTACCCCAGTTTCGACACGAATGCCATTCCTTAACCAGCTGATTACCGGTTCTGGATGTCCCTCAGCTAGACATTCAATGCGAGCAAGTTCGCCTTCAATCACTTGTTGCGCTCCACCATTGGAGATTATAGGAGCTTCTGGAAATTATCTAATCTTACTTATTGATGTATTTTAAGGAAATTCTGTACTTACGGACAACATCTACATTGTACTGCAAGGTATCATTGCCGGCCACATTATCCGCAATGCATGTGTAGACTCCTTTATCTTGAAGCGTAATGTTGCTAATCTAAGGAGAAGTTATATAGGATTTTGAAGAATTTTCGGCATTTTTGCACCTTAATGAATTTGCCAGTATGTCCCAGCTCGATTTGTTCATTACTCTCCGTGATTTCCGTTTCGTTAATAAACCTAAAGGCCTTCACGTTAACACACCACGCATTCTACATCACCAATTCACCAGCTACACTGGCAATTTGGAAGAAAAATACGTTAGAAAATGGACAATACCATCTCAGTGTAGGTTGAGGTTTCCCTCCGACATCGCAGATAAGCATAAGTGTTTGTCCTGTTGGAAGTCGTGGTGACATGTCAATATTGTTTCTGGCTATCACAGGTGGAACTAAAATTGGTTTTATTTTATATCTTGCAATCCAGAACTTGAGCATTCCTGAAAATTTACGATTTACCAAGTACGTCGACATGAATCGTGGATTCCGCACTGCCAGCTTCGTTATTTGCATTACAAGTGTAATCACCAACGTCCGATCGTTCCATGTGAGGAATATCCAAGCGTGTTCCCTTGAAGAAATGAGAATTCTATTTAGGTAGCAATAACAAATCAACAGATTGTTTTGGGGATACAGAGGACTTTTTAACATGGGGAACTTGGGGTAGGCCATCTACACCTCTCCACATTTACAGCATCTGATTTATCCTAAGGGTTACATAGTTCCAGGATTGAAGCATTACAAAATCTCTGCACAAACAATGGCAATTCTTGATTAACACCAACCTTTAGCGAGATCCGAACTCCTTCAACGCTATTGATAATGGGCTGTCCACCTTTAGTCCAGCTTAGCGATGGTGGAGGATTTCCGCTAGCTTCACAGAATAGAGTCACGGTTTCGCCTATTGCTTTGATAGGTGCTTCGGAAGACACTCGGACAGCGGGAGGAACTGCAATGATTTTTCAAAGACATAGACGCTGTAGACCCTTCTCAGTTCTAGCTTACTCCAAACATCAAGTTGGATTTCAAACTCTTTGACGCCAGCATCATTCTCAGCAGCACAAGTCCATGTCCCTGCATGTTCCCTTTTAGTGTCCAATATCTCCAACATCTGACCATCGTCAAGGATTTTTATTACATCGCTCGCTGGAAGGTAATCCTTTAAAAGAAGAAGTTTTAACGCTAAATTTCTCAATACCCACGCTTTACTTCTACTCCATCTTTCCTCCACGTAATACTTGGGAATGGATGTCCACTGACGGCGCACCAAAGGGTGACAGGGCGCCCAATGGTAACTCTCGGAGAAGGGTCGTTACGAGAGGAGTCAATAGCCGGTGGAGCTGGAACGACCATGATCCTCGGGCTAATTCAGTTATATATGGACATGGGGAACATGCTTGACATACATGAAAACCAGCAAACACGTTATGACTTTGAATCTGTTACAAGCGGAGTCAAACGTTTTGAGCCAGGATGCAAAATAAAAGAAAAAAGAAAATAGCTGTCATAAACGTTCTAAAATGAAAATATCACATGATAATATAATCATTGACTCATTCATGTTTGACGGATTATTTAAAGCAATTTTTAACAATTCCTCAGTTTTCTTGCACAAAGTCCACTAACATCATTTTTCCAAAAAAAAAACTTTCAAAATCGCATGAAAAGCTGCAGCAGAGGTAGAGAACTGCGATCAGCTCAATGTTTAAATCTCCTTCCATAACATTCGACTGATAAACAGAAATACTTCAACATTTTATCGCTTTCCTAGCAAAGCTTACAAGTATAGATAAATTTACTCAAATGAGTAAATTAATAATTCTCTCTTGATGGTAAGGAAGTGCTGAAGCACGTAACGTTTATATATCTTTTTTTTCAAGTGCAGTCAAGAAACTCTCGACGACAAGCTGCGATCCATAAGTTTTTTAAGGTTTTTGAGTTTAGGGCAGTCCTATAGGAATAAATGTTAACAGAGAAGGGATAGGAAAGAACATGCAATCACAGCAAACCATGCCGTTAAAATTTA